ATAGGTTCAAGCTTACAACCACAGCTGTTGGCTATGATTGTGCTGGGAGGGCCCTGCCCTCCAGCTGGGACTTGCACGTGGCAATGAGAGGACCCTGTCCTTTCATTAGTCCGAGGCTTGAACCTGACCAAAACACCGCAACCGCGCCCCACAGCTTCCCCTGCTGGTTTGAGGAGCTGGTGAGGGAAGGACCTCGAGGAGGGGCCTCTGCACAGTCTTCCTCCCCTCCTGCCCCGTCCCCCAACCACCACCACCTACTTGCCCCTGCTTCTGTCCTTTGATTTCTGGCTGAAGGGTGATTTGGTTACAGAACAAGGGAGCCGAATCTCCATGGAATTCGCCTGTTGGCAGAGCTGCGTGCACCTGTGACATGAGGCCAGGGAGCCCGCAGGCCCAAGGGGTGTCTGCGGAGGCAGGAGCTGCGGAATGATACCAGGCCAACCTGCTCCTGCAGCCGGCAGCAACCTGGCCGCCAGGCAGCGCCCTTCCTTGCTGTCCCCTGCGCCTGGGTCTAGCCCAGTGATGGCGAACCTATGACACGTGTGTCAGAGGTGACACGCGAACTCATTTTTTTGGTTGATTTTTCTTTGTTAAATGGCATTTAAATATATAAAATAAATATCAAAAATATAAGTCTTTGTTTTACTATGGTTGCAAATATCAAAAAATTTCTTTATGTGACACGGCACCAGAGTTAAGTTAGGGTTTTTCAAAATGCTGACACGCCGAGCTCAAAAGGTTCGCCATCACTGGTCTAGCCTGTCCCCAGCTGGCCATCTCCCACCCCCTCCCTGCCCATCCTGTCATCTCCCCTCGGAGGGGGGTCTCCACCCCCAAAGCAGTGGGAGGGGGATTCAGGCACTTGGCAGCTTCCACAGCCTGGATCAGAGCCTCACCGGGGATGAAAGGAGGTGGGCAGGTAGGCTGGTCACACCTGAGGTCAGATTTGACCAGCTGTGCTGTGCGACCTTAAGTAAGTCATTTAACCTCTCTGAGAAACTCACTTTAGTCAGCCTCCCTCTCTCTCTCTGCCTCCCTCTCTCCCTCTCTCTCTCTCTCTCTCTCTCT